AAGTAATGGGGCCTTAACACATTCCAAGTCCTAGGCCCAGGTACATAGCCAAGTTTTTAAAGCTTTGTGAAAAGCCAACAGGTTGGGGCCATTCTAATCTTCATGAGAAGAATATTCCAAAAGGCAGAAGCTACAGCAAACAAAAGCAAAAACAAAAACAAAAAAAAGGAAAAGAAGCCCATCTTCTAGTTCCCACTAGTCAACACTTTTTGGCCGGCTGGATTTGCAGCATGGCCATTCTATTGTAATAGTTTTCTATATTTGTAGAAATCAAGTGTTAATTGTTCTTCACATTTATTCAATAGTACCTATTGATATTTCGCACATGACTTTTAATGATGTGGATGAATGGAATCAGGGGAAGTAAATGTAAAAGCAAGAACTTGCCAATGGTTATTTGGGTGAGGAATTATACATCAAAGTCTTTTCCACATTTTAGCAGTCAGCTGCCTGACTCCAGTGCATAAAATGGCTGGAAATAATGCCATCTTAAGGGATCATTTTCTGAATTTCAACCTCTTACTTTGCTCTGACCATGGCTGGCATAGTAACCAACTGAAGTGAAGGGGTTTGCTTAAAGGAATTGAAGCACAGCATGGAAGCAGGACCACACAGTTTGAAGTAGCAAAATATGAAAAATACTACCTTTGATATGCAGCTACACAGAAAGAAATTTCATTAGCAATTGGCTATGAATAAGGAATATGGGTGGGTTTATGTCAACATCATACATTCATGCCTTTAAGAAATTACCTTGTGCCAGGTAACTTGGAAATTCAATTCTGAATGAGAAGGGAGAGGATAAAACCTAACTATTATCCTGAGTCATTTTAGATATAACTGAATTTGCTTTACACACTAAATATTTAGTTCAGGAAAAATCTTATTTTTTTTTGTTTCACATTTAAATAGTTTTTCTAAATTCTTCACCAGATTTGTTGGATGGAAAAGAGACAAAAGTAGCATTTCTCCAACAATTTCTCAAGGACAGCCTTCCACTGCAGGTTGATGGTAATACCATTACTGAAAAAGGAGAAAGAATTATTTCATTCTGTTGGTCCTGGAAAATTGCTTGGTGTGTAGAAAGTTATAAAGGCTTTAGACTAACTAAGAGATGAACATGTAATATGCTCATATAGCCTTTGCCATCTTGTTAAGTGTACCTGCACTCCACTCATAAGAATCAACCAGAAATTCTCTTCTCCTGTGAAAAAGCTTCCAAGTCAATTGCTGTCATTAAAAGCAACTTAACTTCCATCAGAAGTAATTTCTCTTTTTGCCATACTGAACAAAAATTGCTAAGAAAATGCAGGAGGATTTTTCTGCCATTTTCTATTATGTTTACCTAGAAACCAAGAGAAGGAACTTGAAGCTAAGTTTTGGTCTTAAGTATCAGAGGCCCCCACTAATTTCATCCGACTCTCGCTCCAAAAATAATTTACGTTCTAAAATTTTGGGTCCAGCTACTATACGAACTTCCAGTAAGGTCTCTAATGTAGCATTACTTTCTGACGTTATATTAAATTAAAAAGGCAGCTATTACTGATCAGGGGTAGTTAAATTATTGTTACTGCTACATGCCATTGCTACTCAAAAATAATAGAAGCTTCTTCCAAAGCACAAATAATTTTTTAAATATGAAGCTAACCTGACTGCAACCTTCTCCTGAGTTCTTTTCTGTTCACCTATATACACTATTTTCACATTTGTGCCTTGATTATTCTCAGAATAGATACACTGTACCTAGAAGACCAGCAAGAATAGCCAGAATAATTGCCATTTCTAAGTCCACATGACATTGTAAATCCAAAAATAACTACACATTTTGGATTGTGTAATAACACAAGCCAAAATGGGATTGGCTCTTTTATAGCTCATGATGCTGCTGTGCAAATATAGACACAATTGCAAGATCCCATTCTCTTCGTCTTACCTATTTTATTTAGGATTGGAGAAGAGGAGCAACCTATTAGCATAGAGTTGGCGCAAATCCAAAACACAAAGGACAAGGGCATCCATGGGTACCTTTCTAATTGCAAATGTCTTTTCTCCCCTCTGTGCTGGCCTGCAGATGTCTGGAGATTCAGATGACTGCTTTTCTCACGGAAGGCTATTTTTGTCACATCTTAGATCACTGAATTTTTTTTAAAAGAGAGAGCAGTAGAGACAAAATTAAGTTATCATGACCTTCAGTCAGTTCTATTGCTTTTAGCAATAGAGTCTGATATTTTGGGGGTATGTGGGGAATCCACCATTATGCTAACTATAAACTTGACTCTGCCTAATTTTTTTGTAAAATAGATTTTTTACCACAAAATGGAAGATAGGTTATATATATTGATACATTGGATCAATATATATGCAAATATACCATATAGATCATTAATATAATATGCACAACAAATGTATATGCTATATTTCTTTGTTGGTCAAAATTGCATATTAAATACAGCTGTAATATAAACAAGACTTAAATTTGTATGAATATTGAAAAGAGAATGCTGCTATCAGTATTACTGTACTATTGCTATTTTTCCTATATTAGAATCATCTAGTTGCCATGAAAATGACAATCGTGATAAACAAAGGTAGGTAGGATCTAGCAAAGAAAAGAAGCCATAGCATGCACAAACAAAGGGAACCAATTACATTCTGACACTAATGCTCTAATACTTCATTTCTTCTTTGGCTTAATTCATTAATACACAGACACATATACTCAGATTCTATATGAGATTAGCAATAGCAAGGTAGCTACCATGAGAAAGGGTAACTATGGAAGGCGAGCTGGAGTGATGGACTACAGTAAAATGGCAGTTTCTCAGGAAGGAGGGAGCACATTCCAGAAAGGAGAGGGAGACAAGAGGTAGCATAATCCCCATAGAAGACAGAAGAAGAGGGTGAGGATACCCATGTCCTAGAATCCTACAGGGTATATTCTTAGGCTAGGAGTAGTAAGGGTTTCAAGATTCCATCTGCTGTATGTAAGCAAATAAAGAACTGAACTCTGGCTAGATTGTCCCATTTCATTCTTGGACTTAGTTTCTTTCATTAAAAAATTCTTTCCCTGGCCACTGTTACCTTGTAACTATGGGAGAATGGGTCTAAGTTGTCTAGAGGCTACCAAGGAATATTATATTGTAAAAAGCAGACATTCATATTTTGTGTAAAATAATGTTTCTGTTTCAGTCTGTGAGAAAATATTCATATTCTGTATGGTGGCAGGCTCCAGAAGATGTTGCAGAACATAATTGTTCTGACAGAGTCCAATTATAGATAATCCTGACTTAGCGACCACAATGGGGGAACCGGTAATTTGATCGCCAAGTGATACAGTTGCTAAGTGAAAAATCCCATGAGTGCGACTGTATTTCAGTTTTCCTTTTCTCCCACTCTTTGGAATGCTCACTGCAGTACAGGGATAATAACAAGAAGGGAAATCATGTTTTTATTTACATTTACTGGAGAGAAAGAAATTACAAGAAAGTAAGCAAGTACAGAATGGGTAATACACATTGAAGGGAATGCATGAGTGCTGCTGTTCAACTAGAATGCTCATGGATATAAGTCCCAAGCTGCTTAGGAGGGAAACAAACCTGTTGGAGTGAAAGTGTTTAAAGTCTGTCAGTTACAGGCAGCAGCTACAAGCCACCTAATTAAGGACAGAATGCTGACCTTGTTGTCTTATGATACCATGTGGGAAACATGGTATATTGTTGAGATTGTTTAAGCACTCTCTATGCATTGTGAGTAAAGAAAAAAACAAGTCAGGTAAACAATGCATGCTAATCGAGTGTAATGGTGAACACATGACAGAGAGAGAGATGCCATGAAAGTTGCAAAAACAGGCATTGGTTGCAAAGTTACTTTTTTATCATTGATATAACCTCAAATAACCTCAAATCACTAAACAAGTTCCACCTCTACAAACTAGTCATTATTTTTGATCTCAGCTTGTTAGGTTGCTAAAGTACAGTAGATTAATTTTAATATTTCATAAGAAATACTGTTTCACTTATAGAAGTGAATGGTATATATGAAGTTTCACTTATTAGAAGTGAATGGATATAAATATATGACACTTCAGATGTCATATGACATTTGCCATCTTCCTTGGCCATGATTCATACTAGCTGGAGATGATAAACAATTGAGGACCAACCAGGAGTGGGTTCTACTTACTTTTACCACTGGTTCGCAAAGGGATTGCATGCATGCTTCTGTGCATGCACAGTTTGCTGATGATGACATCCGGGGTGGTAGGCGGGGCCTCCCGCCGGTTTTACTTCCGGTTCTTGAGAACTGGTCCGAACCGGGGGCAATCCACCACTGGGACCAATCACATCTGGAAGACTACAGATTTTCGTTGGACTTTTAATATTGTTTATAAGTAACAAGTCTTGGTGCAATTTTAAGCTTTCCCTGTTGATTCTCTTTCTAGAGATGTGGAACATAAATATCAGTTTTCCTTCATGCTTAGAATATATTGGCTGAGCTTATATATAGTACAATATGGATAAGTATAATATAATTTTGCACTTTTGTTCCAACACACAGTGTTTGCAACTAGCTTGTTTCACTGTTTCTAGTCATTTAATGGATGATGCTTTTTTTTTTAAAAAAAAACTGTCATTATTCGCTTCATATATTTAAAAAAAGACTTAAAAACAGGAAACTGGTGTAATGTCAGAATTTGCTTAGATTTTTTTCTTATCTTTGACCTGTAGGCTAAGATGGTCTTGCTTAGATTACTATTTCATCTCATCTTCTGAATTTACTCTTACACACCCCACTTCCTGCGTATATGGCCATTGAAATAGATCATCTTGCTAATGTGGCTATAGCATGAGGTCAGTCAACCAAACAACCTTCCATTCTATTTTGATTCTACATTAATCTTGGATCCTTCCAGTATTCGTTCTTTTTTTATTTCATTTTTTTGTTACTGCTTCTGACATCATATCCTGAGTAGTACATTGGTTTAACAGCAAAGCTAGATCTTCTCAGCATGCAGTACAAGAAGATGTTTAAAATGGATTTCAGTTTTTCATTTTTCCTGCCATGTATGTTGATGATCCTGACCATTATTAGTGGTAAGTCATACTTTATTTTATAAAATTAGCATGATGCCTAGCTGAATGGAAATGGTGCTTTTGCACAGACACTTATCCCTTTTTTAAAGGTGTCAACAAATCTCAGCAAAATCTTGGTGTCATCATCATCAAAGCATAAAAAGGGGTAATTAAGTCTATTTTTAAAAAACTAATTTATCCCTTTTTTTTGCTTACTGCATTTATAATAAAAATAAAACTGATTGAAGGGCTTTGCACATAATACAGTGGGTAAAACGAGAAGTTAAACACCAATAATTCTTAGGCTTCCTTCTCTTTTCTTAATATGTCCTTGAGTAAATGATTCAGTATGCTAAAAAAAAAATCATCCCAAATCACTTAGGTCAGTTATACATAGTTTTGAAAATAAATTTCAAGATTTTATCATACTGATTTTTAAAAAAATTGAAATACCAGATCCCTTTACATGTTCATCCATGATTCCAGAATCAGTGAATATATATTATATAGAATATTACAAATTCAGGTGTATATGTGCTGGTCATGTCCTTATTTATATTTTTATTTAATAATGAAAGTTATTTCTCTTACTGGTTTATTATATGTGTGTTAGTGTAGATCTGTGAACAAACATTTCCTAATTTTTGAAGCCACTGAAGGAACCAATATAATTATATGCACCTGTACTCATTATAAATGACAATAAAAAGTGTATTTAATTACACAAATAAGCAGACAAATAATATATTTCAAATTTTAAATATTTAGTCAAGTAAGAGTGATATATATGTTGTAGTTTTGCTTTAGTAACACATTAGCAAGCATTCTCATTTAAATCTGAGGTCTGTGAACTCATCTGCTTTAACTTATTCAAGTTTTCAGATAGATAGATAGATAGATAGATAGATAGATAGATAGATAGATAGATAGATAGATAGATAGAATATATGAAAAAATATAGAACAGGATTTACTGTCAGCGATCACATCAAATTGAGTTTTATAAGTAAACCAACCAGGAATTATAGCATTTGTGAGGTTCCTTAAACAATTATCTGCTGTTTCCCTGGACTTTAATGAGGTAAACATGTGAGCTAAGAAAAGCAATATGAAGACACTTTAAATCTGTTCCAAAAATAATAAAGCTATGCTCTTTTATATTAGCAATCACAATAATATTTGTTTTCTCCACTGCCAATTTGTATGATATAAAGACAGATAAATTAATTGTTTTTTTTAGTAAACTTAAGCTGTCAGGATACCTTTGACTATCTGGGGTTATCCTTTGATGTTGATAGCTTTAACCTATCAGGATTTTAACTATATAATTTGATTTTAGTTTTGATGTCTTTTTGTTTTGGAATGATTGTAGAACCCAAGCAGCAGAGAAGATGTTTTAATGGAATACTTGGACTAACTAAAGAACTGATACTTTAAATCAGTTGGTTGCTAATATAGTAGCTGATTGAAAGATGTTGACAGATTATGTATTAGTATGATTCACCTATAACATTTGCTTGAGAATTAGATTAAGATAGATTATGTGTATATTTCGTGTGTGTGTGTGTGTGTGTGTGTGTGTGTGTGTGTATTATATGAATTGTGAAGTGAAAAAATGAGAATTTTGAGTTTTGGAGAATCAAGAGGTCTAGGAATTAATAAATATTAATTTACAGAAAATACTATTTCATATTTATTGTACTTCTCGAAGCAAGTTTTAAAAAGTTTGGATACCTGATTTGTGTGTGTGTGTGTATGTTCATGTTGTAAGAAATGTTACTTAATTTATAATTTGATTGTATCCAACTTCAGTCTTGTTTTGGTTTTAAATTATAATTGAATCACAGAAAGAAATATTATATTTAAGAATGTCAATTTGATGATTAACTCTTAAAGATGGAGTCTGCCATCACATCAGGAACTTTGGGTCTATCAAGCCTGAGTACTATTTTAAAATTTATTTTATGTTTGCCCCCCCCATCTTGATTTGAAATGAATCTGTGTGGCTTACAAAATTAAAAGCAATAAAACCTTACAAGATAAATATTTCTAAGAACAATAAAAATACAATTACAATCCAAAGTAAAGGATTGCACAAAAGGTGGGAGAGAGCAGGAGGAAGAGAGTTGAGATCTTCTCTTAAATCATTAACCACCTCCAGTGATAATCCCCTGTTGGTTCCCCAAGACAGTTGGCAGACCCAAATCCTTATGGATGGTCAGACGGGTGGGAGCCAACCTTACCTCATGGGCCAAGATGCTCCAAAGGGCAGAATCCATGGCAAAGAAGGCTCTTCTCCTGCACCCAGCCAAAATTCTGCAACAGACTCACAACATGTCCTCTCTGTCAGCATGGGTGGGGTCAATCCATTGGGTGAAACAGTTTCTCAAGCAACCTGGATTCATATGATGCAGGGCTTTAAAAGTAATAATCAGTGTTGTGACATGGGCCATCCTAGGGGTTCCAAGAACAGCCTGCACTACAGCATTCTGCACCAGTTGTAGCTTCCAAACGCTCTTCAAGGCTAGCCCCATATAGCACGCACTGCTGTAGTCCAAACGTAAGAATGGGAAATGATCAGGACATGAGTGAAAAAAATCTTTGTTCTAAAAATGAGCAGATGAAACAAAATGATGATATATGAGAACCAATTTGGTATAGTGGTTAATGTACCAAGCTAGAGATCATAGGTTCAAGTCCCACTTAGCCATAAAAGCCAGTTGGGTAATTTTGGGCATCTCTCTCAATAGAACCCACTTCACAGGATTTTGTTACAGGGAAAATAGGAAGAGGAAGGTGGATATGTTTGCCGCTTTGAGTTATTTATAAAAGTAATAAAGGTTGGATACAAATAAATAAATAAACAAACAAATAAAATTTAAACATAAATTATGTTAGGACTGAATTAATTATTATTAATTAATAATAATATTATAATTATTATTGTCTATGGTTATTAGATTAATCTTTTTTGTAAGTCTTTTCTTTAATCATATGATATTATTTTAGTCATTATAACATTTATAGTATATTCACTATTTTTTATGTTGATGAAGTAGATTTTTTTCTTGCATTTCATTTTCATTTCCAAATGCAATACCAGTCTTTCAATCAGTCAATTAATATACTAATCTCTATGCCAAGGTTTTCTCTGTTTCACCATTATAAAGCCAGATACGTATAATATCCACTATACCAGAATAGTTCAATAATGAATGGGTTTTGTTTTGTTTTTATTATAGGCAACACTTGTGCTGCCAATAATTTAATCACTCACAATAATTTCTCAGAAACACCAGTATCACAATATAATCAATCAGGGAAAGGAGACATAAACTGTGAACACACCTGCGACAAAGTGATATGTTTGAAGGATGATGAAAGAAAGTGCCTTGGAAATGATACATCCTTTCTTTGCGTATGCGGTAAGTATTTTGATTTTGGGGTCAACAATGACAAAATATAAGAACTTCATTGCAATTCCTAATGCATTATATATATTGATGTCTTAAACCTGTTTAATTCAGTTAAGCATCTAATCTTAAACCGTGATCTGCAGTTAAATGAACCTGAATTTAACACAGTGGAGCCTAAAGGCTATAGCACAGAGAACATATTTTGTATTCAACTGGCATTCATCATCACCTCAAGTGGCACATTATTATGATCAGCAGTCACAACTTCAACTATTTTTATGTTCACCTACCAGATACCATATAGATCTGTGATGGCGAACTTATGGTGCGCATGCCAGAGGTGGCACGCAGAGCCCTCTCTGCTGGCAGCCGTTTCCCTGGTCAGATCTCCATGGCGTTTTTTTTTCGTGAAACTCTGTTTCCTTGCAAACGATGAAACAGAACCTCATGAAAGAAAAAGATCTTACCTCTTGCCGCACTGCCAGTGTTGGGATGCCCCACCTCCCACCGGCCAGCTGGTCTTTGAGTCTCTGCTGTGCACATTTGCGCATGTCTGTGCATGCGCATGTTCGTGTATGTCCATGCATGCACACATTTGCATGCGCGCGCACACACCTTTCAGTTTGGGTGTGCACGCATGCACAGTTTGGGCACTCAGTGTCTAAAAGGTTAGCCATCACTGATATAGACATACTAAATAATCTGGAGTGTATTATTGATATTTCACATTATTGGTTTTACCATGAGCCTAAAATAATTTGGACTGAAATTAAAAGTATATAGCTCATCCTAAAAAGATTATGGGAGTTTGTCATCATAGCCATTGACTAACAAGGAACAGAAATGTTTTAGTCATTTCACAACAAAAAAGATTCACTTGACAATGAGATGAAGGGCAAAGAACATAAATAAATAAATGAATAAAATGAATGAATGAATGAATGAATAAATAAATAAATAAATAAACAAATAAACAAATTTTGCACAAATCAACAGATTTGGAACAATGAAAATGCTCTTTACTCATGCTGTATTTATGAGCGCACTATTTCTCTTCCAACTTTCTAAATACATAGATCCAGCCCCAGATGATTAAAAATGACAAAGCTTCTTTCTTTAATTCAAGTATCACCCCCACCAAAATGCAGTGTAACCACACATTTGTATTTTTCAATGTTTTCTGTTCTTATTTTGTGCAGGAATAGGAATTGAACAAAAGGCCTATCTTATTTACTAAACAAAACTAACCCTGTACAAGAGCATTTTTGTCAAAAGTATTCCTATGACAAGCGAGACAAAGAAGTATTTGGACAAATTCCTCAGGCATCTGGGAAACAAGAGGGAGCTTTTTATTCAAAGCACCTTCTCTTTTGTTTCTGCTTACCGTACATAGTTCCGATTGTTAAAAATCCCCATGTCATACCTTTGATTATTATATTTGAATGATGGAGTTCATTTCTTATATCTCCCTAATCTTGGCAAGAATATTTTTATCGATTTGTTTTATAAATGTTTTATATACATTTCCCCATAATGTTGCCTTCATTCATCCTGAACCCATATCTATGCAGTTCAATTTATCTTTAGTTTATCTGTCGTGGATTTCCTTCTGTCATGGCACAATTTCTGCTCTGTACCCAATCCAGTATGTCTCACTAAGTATATAGCTGATGGAAGAGTTAGGGGGATCCATTTAGCTCTCCTTCATGCTGCTGCAGTCACAGACTCTTCTGTGTAGTTGCTGGCCATTGTCTTCTATGCTCATTTGGGCCTTGTGTACAGATGAGCTGGGATATCTGGCTTCTGGACAATCCACCTACGGTATGTAATGCTTGACCAGGCTTCTTATATACATAGATTTAGTGCTGTTTTGAGAAAGTGCTAGACCTGAGCTGGGCAAAAATCAGTTTAAACCAGGAAAGGCAGATGGGCTCTATCATGAATGAGTGCTTTAGTTTTTGTATTACTTCTGTTGACAAGGTGTTTCCTGTGGCCATGCTTTTACTGTATTTATTACTTTGCTGGTGTGTGTGTCTTTTGTGCCAATTTAACCTGCTACTTCCAAACGCTGCAGGAAAAGTCATTTGCTGGCAGTCCAGCCATTCCCTGGCAATCAAGAATAGAATTCCCTCATTATTGATCTTTCCCTCCTGCTTCAGCCCATGCTCTACCTTTATGTCTGTTGATTCTGTTGACAGTCACAGGCATGAAGGAAGCAGGAAGGAACACCCAGAGGCCTCTCGCAAGACTTCCTCCTTGTCTTTGACTTGTCAGTCAGGTTATTTCTGAACATGGGTCTATTACTTTTTTTTTTTTTTTGAAGAACTGCTAACTTGTGTCCAAAAATAGCCTGGCTGACAAGTCAGAGATGCAGAGAACAGATGCACCGTGAAGTAGGAGGAATATCACACATCCTTCAGTTTTCTCAATAGTGTCATCCTTGTAACACTCGGTACTCCACAAAAGTGGCCATGGGGAAGCATAAAAGCTAATTTCCACATATCTCTCATTCCCCATCTCCATTCAAATCTTTTTCAGTAAGTCATTGTGTCTTTCACTGGGAGGCACTGGGAGGCAACACTGGTCACTTAATTTAAAAATGAATGAACTGGTGTTTAGGAGCCATAGTGTTGTGGCTACAAGTGAGCCAGGATGATATGGGAAATTCTCTTCAACTGAAAACTGCTGATATCACAGATAAAATAAAATGCTGCAGAATTGTTCTGAATTTGGTAGAGCTGAAGAAACCCAGTCACTAGGGGAATATTCAGTGTGGAGGGAAACTTATTACCCTTCTCTTCAGTGTTAATATATGAGCTGTGGCTAGTTCAAGAATGTTGTGGATATAATTTTAGGTATAAGTATTCTTTTTGTTGTTGTTGTTAGTTGCGAAGTCATGTCCAACCCATCGCAACCCCATGGACAAGGTTCCTCCAGGCCTTCCCTGTCCTCTACTATCCTCTGGAGTCCATTTAAACTCATGCCTACTGCTTCAGTGACTCCATCCAGCCACCTCATTCTCTGTCATCCCCTTCTTCTTTTGTCCTCAATCTTTCCCAGCATTAGGCTCTTCTCCAGTGAGTCATTCCTAAAAAACTCAATTCCATTTTGTATATTTTGCCATTTGGCTCAGGTTCAACTACCACTAATTTAACATTAATTAATAATAATTAATTAATAATTAAGCCCACTGTAACAACATTGCCAAAAAGGTATTAATAAAATTGAGCGAGTCCAGAGATATTTCATGAAAAGAGTCCTCCACTCCTCTACTCGCAACAGAACACCTTATGCCACCAGGCTTGAAATTTTGGATTTAGACAACTTCGAACTACATCACCTTCAGTCTGACCTAAGTGTCGTACATAAAATAATCTGCTACAATGTCCTACCTGTCAATGACTACTTCAGCTTCAACCACAACAATACACGAGCACACAATAGATACAAACTTAAGGTAAACAGCTCCAAACTTGATTGCAGAAAATACGACTTCAGCAACAGAGTGGTCAATGCCTGGAATGCACTATCTGACTCTGTGGTTACATCCTCTAACCCCCATAATTTTAACCTTAGACTTTCTCTGTTGACCTCACTCCATTCCTAAGAGGTCTGTAAGGGGTGTGCATAAGAGCACCAATGTGCCTACCGTCCCTGTCCTAATGTTCCCATTTATTTATATCCATTTCATGTATTAATAATCATGTTTATACAGTACTTATATCTGTTACCTTATACATGCTTGACAAAATAAATAAAATAAATAAAAATAAATAAATAAATAAATAAAATATAAAGGCAATTGGGATTTGAATTGCCATCCCTAAACAGCATGTGATATTGTGGGATCATGCAGTAGTTCTTGCTGATTTTGTTATGCAAAGACCATGCAGCTCATTAAATGAGGACCTCATGTTGCCACAACTTCTAACTTCCTGCCAGGTTTCCATTGAATTTGCTTGTGGAAAGGCAGCAAAAACATAGCAAATTGAAATCACATGACCATAGCTTGCTGCAATGTTGCAGTTGTGAGTGGTGACTGCAGAGACATTGTGATAGCTGAAAATCTGATGACTGGTCATGTATCACATATTCAGTGCAACCATAACTTGGAAAGTTGCTGAACATAAACCAGGGGCTACCTGTATTATACCTGTTGTGGTCCGCCAGCAGCCTGCGGAGCTGGGAGCAGAGTCAGACAGTGAGGAGGCGGTGACGATATGATGTCACCGAACCGGTTCTGCCCCCCTGCACCCCCCACCCCCCGTGTTATTCTTACCTTTTATTTGGCCCCACCCCCAATCTATTGCTTCTTCCTGAGTCCCAGGTGATGGCTAGAGGGAAAAAAAAACTGTTTAAACTCTTGCGGCTGGGCTTCAAAGGGCCGCCCTACAGTTGATCAGTGTTAAAAGAAAACAAATGAGTAGACCAGTGCCTGCAAAAATAAATGGATAGACCAGTGCCTGCAAAAAATAAATGGGTAGATCGGTACAGCTCTGCAAGCAGTTAAAAGGCTGGTAGACCAGTACCTCTGCTAAATCCTAAATAATTGTCACATGTCCATCAAGCTATGCCCACAAAATAAGCCACGCCCACAGAACCAATAGTAAAAAATTTTAGAACCCACCCCTGAGGTATACCACATGTTAGCAAGACACTGTACACCTTTTAGATATAAAAATGAAATGTGATAAGGTTTTGTTGGAATATAAGTTTCTTATTTGTAAAACTACCCAGGGCAAAGTTCTGATATATTTTCCTATAGACATTAAACCAGACTGATTTTTACTTATTTTATTACTTTATAATTTCTGTATTTGACACAACATTATAGCTATAACCAGTTGAATTCTTGTCTCCCCTCTGATTTTGATATCCCACCATTTAGATCTGCTTCCAACTGTTCACATCCATTGTCTCCCTAATGGAAAAATCAGCCTGTTGTGTGAAATAGGTGGCCAATTCAATGGCAATGTTCATTGGACTCTGAATGGAAATCCTGTAAGTGATGGCTGTATCAAGGAAAATGGCACTAAAATTATTTTGGAAAAAGGTAAACGTGGCAAGTACGTTTGCCAAAGAGGAAATCACTGTAAGAGTTCTCCTGTTGAAATGACATGTGATAATGGTAAGTTATATTTTATCTAAGTTGTCTTACTGGACTTCAAAATGTTATATGGATAAATATACAGATAAGCAGATTGTACTCCTTCATTTAATCTGGTCAGAGAAAATTGTTTATTTCTATCAAATCATTTTCTCTTCTCTCCTCTTTAGTGTGAGACTACAGCTCTTGTTTAGATAGTGTAGATGATAAGGTGAACTCCTTCCTTTTTCTCATATTTTAATATCTATCTATCTATCTATCTATCTATCTATCTATCTATCTATCTATCTGGGATGAAATGCTCCCAGTTCGGACCGGATTGCCCAATCCAGTAGCGATGGAGGCGGGTGGTTCGGAGAACCGGTAGCAGAAATCCCTGCCCCGCCCATGCCTTGCTGAGCCGCACACTCATCAGAGGCTTTTTTTTTACTTTTAAAAGCATTTTTATTTTTATTTAATTATACATATGATAACAGCAGTACGAATACTATACGCGCAACACTGGAAGAGTAGTGATATACCAACACCAGATAAAGTAATCAATAAAATTATGGAATGTGCGGAATTAGATAGACTCACAAAGGAATTACAAAATAGGGAAGAACATGACTTTTACTTAGTATGGGAAAAGTGGTATAGTTGGTTGAAAGATAGGAAAGAGATGAAGCAATAGGAAGTAAACAAAATGACCAAATATAGTATGATGGAAACAAAGAATAAACATAGGTTAACAAAGATCAATATTAGATAGATAAAAGTGAATGACCAAATAAGGAAGAGTCAAAATACAAAGAGAAATGTATATTATAGTTGCGACAAACTGGACATGTATTGAAATGGATGTTTATATGTTTTTATGTTTTGTACGTTTCATTGTTCTGTTTAGTTTATACTTATAAATAAAAATTGGAGAGAAAAAAAGCATTTTTTCTACAACTTTTCAGCCAAAAAAATGCTTTTAAAAGTAAAAAAAAAAAAAAAGCCTCTGATGATCGCATGGCTCAGCTGGGATTGTCAAAAGCTTTTAAAAGAAAAAAAGTCTCTGCTGATCAGGCAACTCAGCTTGGATTGTCAGAGGCTTTTAAAAGAAAAAAAAATACTTCTGTGAGGGTCTTAAGCTCTGTTTGTACATGAAGAAGTATTAATGGAAAATGGGTTCCACGAAAATAGAATTAGAACTATAATCCAGCAAGGGACAGTAGGCCAGAGCAAAACACAACAAGAAGAACACAATATGGGAACTGCCATCCTGCCCTATATAAAAGGGACCACCAACAAAATTAGTAAGATATTACGGAAACAAAAAATAAAAACAGTGTTCCGTGCAGATAGAAAAATATCGATGATGGTGACAAACCCTAAGGATAAAATTGAGTTGGAAAACCAGGGGATATACAAAGTGCCGTGCGCCTCCTGTCAGTCATCTTATATTGGACAGACAAATAGACGAATAAGTGTACGTTTAGAAGAACATAAAAATGCAGTGAGGAAAGAAGAGCAAACTTCTTCTTTGGTACAACACATGAAGGCCACGGGACACAATATTGATTTTAATAAAACCAGAACAGTGGCGAAAGAGGAACATCTCAACAAAAGAATAATCAGGGAGGCCATCGAAATTGAAAAGAGGCCGCAGAATATGAACAGACGAGACAACGCCTCTAGGTTATCAAGTATTTGGGGACTTGCACTCAGAAGTCGAGTGTTAACATCAGAAGAGAGGCAGAGATTCCAACAAGCAACCAGTGGTGTTGTAAGACCTGCCAGAATTCTTCCCTCTTTGCAGACGGTGGCTAGCAATAGGGAGAGAGAGAGAGGATCGAGCCAGAAGACAGGCTGAGATCTCAACTAACAATCAACGGTGCTGGGATGCTTACCAGAATCCTTTCTCCTCTACAGCAGACAGATAATAATAGAGAACCTGAGAAAGCTAGGCCTGTAACACGTAGCCAAACAGCCAGGATGAGGAAGCAGGAAGAAAAACTGCTGTCCTACAATCAGGACACAGAGTTACAGGCTAACCAGCATACGTCAGCAGCGTCAACATAGAAAAGCGACAGCTCCGACCTCGCAATACACCCATAGCTTCTAAACTAAACAAGAGCCTGAAGATGACAGGGTTGTGAGCCTGTCGAAACGTCGCTAGAAAGAAAAACTTTTAAGGTACTGGTAGGATTTTAGCTAAGGTTTTAAAGGACCTTGCAGAGTGCTCTGTAAGGAATTTTGGAAGATTTTAAGCTAGGATTTTAACCAGAATTTTAAACATTTTAACTAACTTATTTAACATGACGCGGGAAAACACCCCAGATTTTAATTTTTTGCATATATATATATATGATATATAATTGGACTCTCAAAGTAAGAAGATGTGGTATTGAGAAGGCATTTTAAAATTCTGGAACTATGGGCTTAAAAAATTAATACTGCTTTTTTATTGGAATTATAATTTAAAATAATTAAAATCAGACTTGCCAATAACACATCGTGAAACAGAGAGCGCCATCTGCTAATGAAAGGGAAAATATGCAAGCCTGGGAATAACCAGATGAAGGACTGAAAATATTTACTGTATTACATGTATCTTTACTTTACTTTACTTTTATTAGATTTCTATACCACCCTTCTCCCGAAGGACTCAGGGAGGTGTACAGCCATATTAAAACACATAAAATTTACAAAATTTAAAAACCATTAAAATCAAATATACAAAAATTTGGCCCACAAATTAAAAAACTAACATACACCCATTAAAATTCATATTCATGTTAGACTAGGTTAGTATCTACTCTTAAACCACTTAGAGTAGTCTGGAGATTTGAATATTAAATAAGAACTTTAAGTAAAAGATCCTTGAATGTTATGTTATATGATTGAACATATAAAAGTGACTTGAGGAGGTTCGGACAACCCCCTGGTTTACTTAAATAGATTTGACTGATTATTTATGAGATATTAAAAATTGTGATTTGTGTAAGCTCAGTTTTGAATGAATGATTTCTGGACTACTGGCTAAAAGTGGGACCTATTAAACAAAATAAGATGCAACGCAAGGCGGAAGCGAGTGGAATTTTAAATGAAATGGAGCTGATGTTTCAAAGCATTAAGGACCTTATACAGGAACATCATAAGGTGATGGTGAAATTATTTGATGGCATAGATAAAAAACTGGAAAATACAATACAAGGGACAATGAGCAAAGACGAGGACAATCAGGAAAGATGGATCCACCAGAAGGAATGGAGGGGAAAGCAGAACTGAGAAACTAATGAAGAGAAGACAACAAGGAGGAGATATAATCAAAATTAATAATGAATGAGGAATTCAAACAGGAGGAAAATATTTTAAAAGATTTAAAAAGGGAATGAGAGAAACAGGAAGATTCTGGGGAAAGGAGGTAGGGCTTAGAACAGATAGCTTTAAAACTAGACAGTGGGAAAGGATAGAGAGGGGAGAAAAAGTTAGATTGCATAGTCAGAAGGCAGATATAGAAGTAGATGGAGTAAAAGACTTAAGAGAAGAATATGGGAGGCAAGTCAAAAAAATAAGACTTAAAGTACTGATGCAGGCAAGAGGTGATGGATAGAAAAAAGATAGAAAAAGATCCTCCATGCATATATTTTAACAAAAACATGTGTATTAATATTAGAACTATATAGACATTAGGATATTTTAATATAAATAGATATGAAGAGTGAAATATGGGAATTATGAATAAGAATTAAGCATTAATTGGAAAATTAGAGATTGAATGATGGTATTATTAAATATGCATAAAAATTATGATTAGCAGTGAAATGATAAACTTAAACAATGGATGATTAGATAATGAAAGAATATATTTTAATGTAAACATGTGTATTAATAGTAGAATCACATGGATTGGATGATTGGAAAGAAGAGAAATAGATTTACTCTATATGTTTAAATGATTGTGATTGGTACTAGAAGTGTACATTGAAACACTGAATAATGAAAGAATGAAGGCTGAAACTTTTATATAAATAGATGTGAAGAGCTAAATAAGGGAAATATGAATAACAAAGCAGGTGAAAGATGGAAAATAGAAAAGAAACGTCTTTGAATATATGGAATATGGTGACATGGAAAAGAAAATTAAATTAAAGAAAATTAAAATAGAGATAGAAATAAGAGGGGAATAATAGTATATATATATATATATATATATATTAATATAACGAGATATATGTATGTAATAATAAGAGGGAGGTTTAGAAATTGAAGGGCGGTAGTATTGGCAATGTTTAAACAATATGAAACAATGAAAATGAAATAATAACTATGAGTAATAATATTATTTCTATTTGTATTAAAATGTATGACACCTAGTATCACACTATTCACGCATTGATATCTATAAATAATATAAAATAAAAAACTTATATAAAAAATAAAATAAAGTAAAATATGTGGCTGTTAATGCAAATACACAAACAAAATGAGTCTGGTGTGGTCTAATGGTCAAAGTAGTGGGCTAGACACTGGGAATCTATGAGTTCTAGTTCTGCCTTAGGCATCAAAGCCTGCTGAGTGATTTTAGGCCATTCCCACTGTCCCAGCCCAACCTGTGGGTGTAGTATAGAAAATAGGAAGAAAAAGGACTATTATTCATGTTCACAATCTTGAATTATGTGTAAAAATAGTAAAGATGATAAAAATAAAATAAATAAACTATATTTGATAGTACAATTACATTATTCAGCCTTATCAGTGGTGGGTTTCTACTGGTTCACCCCAGTTTGGGCGAACTGGTAGTGGCGGGGGCGGAAGGCTCCGCTCTCCCACCCGGACATCATCATGGACACTCTGCGCATGTGCAGAAGCACCACGCGCAAGTGAAGCAAGTGCACTCATGCATGCATTCCCAGTTCTGAACCGGTAGTGAAGGTAAGTGGAACCCACTACTGAGCCTTACCCTAACATCATTTCTGTGTTCAGATTGGCCTGTATTTGAACTAACATTGACTGATTGCTATAGTTTAAGCTGTATTATTATTACAAGATGCAAAAGAGCATAAAAAATCATCTTTGAGGGGATTGTGCAGCTGTTACTGAATCAGGGGTGGGTTCTACTTACCTTTATTACCGGGTCACAACGGGAGTGCATGCGTGCGCTCACTTTGCTCGTGCATGCACGCTTCTGCACATGTGCAGATAGTCAATTATGATGTCTGGGCGGTGGGCGGAGCCTCCTGCCACTTTTACTACTGGTTCTAAAGAATCAGACAGAACTGGGAGCAACCCACCACTGCACTGAATCATATATATCAAAGCAACAGCTATTTGCAGATAGTAACTCTGATAACAGACTGACAGAGATTAATCCAAATAATTAAGGGGATCAATAAATTAATAATAACAACTTTATGCTTAATTGTTTAAATTATTAAACTTTTATTAGTTTTTTATAGGATGTAAACATTAAAGTAGAAAATATTTTGTCTAACTAAGGTTTCTGCAACTGCTAATATTGGCAGATAGTTTATAAAAATAGTATGTTAAAGTCAAGGAAATTGTATTGCTTTGAGCATTCAACTCAGTTCAATGCTCAGCTCAAAATGCTCAGTGCTATTGAGCTGAGGGTATTTTCTCACATTATGATCATGACAATTTTGTGATTCAAAGATTTGAAGTACAGCATATCAGCCTACCAAAGGAATAGTCTGCCCTAACGCATAAGCATAGACACACACATATTCTTCCTACTGTTAATCTTAGAAGACAAAGTTTCCTCTAGCCTTCCTCTCTCTCAGCTCCCAGTGGACTGCCTTGCCAGAAGAGTGACAGATCATTCCTACCTGGTTACTTGCCAAGAGTTTCTTCTTCAAATTAAGAAGTTTCCTTTTCCTCCCTTTTTAATGAACCAAAAGTGACACTAAGATTATATTCACAAACCAACTAACTCGTAGTTATTTTAGCCATGATTTTCTCAATCCAATTATTATAGATTCACACGACACACTGAAATGGTTTTAGACAGCATGCTAAATTGGATAATTGGTGAGAAAGCAGGGGTTCAGTGAGCTGTAGAAAGAGAATCTAATTGGGCCTTTGCGTCTAAGTCAGTGGAAGATACTGGTGCAAGATTTTCTAACCTGCAAGTAGCAGCTTCTGTGGGGAGAAAAATTACTCCAAACAGCTGCAGAAAAGAAAAGTGTTATAGTCTTTCCATGTACAGCAGATTGTAAGCAAGCCATGTTATGCTATTTTCATTTATTACTATAAATAAAATTACTATAAATTATTGCAAATAGAAAGAGAAAGAAAACAAAGAAAAACCCATAAAAGCACAACTCTTAAAAATAAAATAAAATTAGTCCTATGGATTAAGCATATCAATTAGAATATGCAATCCAAATCTCTAAAAAACTTGTGCAGGTAGATTTCAAGCAGTTCGATGCTTACTCAGCTATATATAAAAAAGTTTGTTTGTTTGTTTATTTAATTAGTTTACTGTATGACTCTCAACATCTCTGGGTGGCTCACAAATACAGACATTAAAATAGTACAGTAAGATACAAAAATAAAGAATAAATGATAGCAAAGAGGAAAGAAACCAGACAGGAATGGATACTCCCTCCCCCCCACCAAAGATTCATACTTCAAGGGGGGATAAAATTGACAAGGATTGGGATCACTTCCAGATAATTAAAATCTGGAGCACGGCAACTACAAAAGCAATATTCATTTCAATCATTTCCTAGTTGGTTTCCAAACAATTCACATTTAATGCAAAAACACAGAAAAATCTAGAAAAAGCAGTGAGTTTCTGGAATAAAATTAATATGTGAAATAAAAGGAGTTGCTATAACACATGATTATATTATATCAAATATATATATTTGTTGCCTGTTCTTTCACAGTTATATATATATTTGTTTAATTTATTTAAGTTTAATTTAATAAAAACTTGTTTTGAATAGCATCTATTTCGGAGAAAATTGATAAGATTTGACTACATTTCAGTCCCCTCTTTTTCTGAATAAGTATTATAACAGTCCAGAATTCCCTTTGTAAAACTAATTAAAAAATTGATCTGTGTATATTAATTCATATGTTTTATTCTAGCTTCTAGTTGTTAAATCACCACCTGAAGTCCTTCTTTCACCACCCAAAGTCCCTCTTTGATGGAGATGGTCAGTTCAGAAATGTGAAAAATAAAATAAATAAAATAGAATAAAATAATAAACAAATAAACTGACTTCAGCATTGGGGAATTTGACATGAATCGATATATAGCACTAATTTTATTTAAGGCATAAGAGACATATGCTTTGTGAGTCTTTTTCATTTTATAATATTTTGGTGTATATATTTAAACATTAAAAAATAAAATTCTGCCCTTTGTAGTGTCAACATGTATCTGACATCAGCTCTAATTCTGATGGGGTTTAATGTTTAGAAAACTAGCACTGATTTCTTCTACTTTGTCAACTGCTGAAGGCCATTTCTTTTCTTGTACCAGGGGATCTGTTGCAGCATCCACTCTTCTTATATGTCCTAACAGCCTGTGGAGGTGGAGCGGTTTTACTAGCCGTCACAGCCTCATTGATCACATGTTGCTGCATGAAAACCAAGCACAATTTTGTTCGGGTCCCTGTGGGTAAGTAATGCTTTTTCTCGTTGGTGTTGTGTCTCATAATGCAGCCCCATGTATACTTATTTGAAAACAAGTATTTAAACAAAATCATGAAGAAAAAAAAAATAGATAGAAAGTGTTTTTTCCATTTATATTTATTATTAAGAACTTCCTTTAGGCGAATTGGCAAGTAATTAGCAGATATTTTTGTGGAAGGCATCTCCATATTTGGTGAATGCTGCTGAACCCATGTTGTTTACCTTCTCAAACCGCTTACCAAGCTGAATATTGTAAGCAGAGCATCCTCCACAACATTCACCAAAGCATGACCTTCACCAAAGCAGTTGCCAAATAGTCTGGAAGAGATTCCAGGCTGTGCAATCTCAGTGTGCCCATGTTTGCCAAAGTTGCCCAGACTGGAAGACCCATGGCAGCACATGTTAAGGGGCTTTTGACTGGCAATCACATAATGATGGTTAAAGTCATCCATTGTTGATGGATCTTGGTTAGCTTTATAGAACAAGCATTCTTGTCCAACTCAGGACCATTTGCCAAAAATAAACAAAAAAAAATATTCTTCTCTCTCTCTCTTAGCATGTGGCATAATGCTATGGGAAAAGCATAGATAGGCTCTCAAACAGAGTGATATGTAAGAGCGGAGGTGTCAAACTTGCAGCGTCATGTTATCGTCACATGATGCATCACAGCTTCTCCCCCTTCGCTAAACTGGAGGTGGGCATGGCTGGCCTGTGACACATCTGGCCCATGGGTCATGAGTTTGACACCCCTGTGTAAGAGTAGGGTCACACTGTTTCACTCTTAGAAGCAGAGACACTATTTTGCTTCACAAAACAGCTCCTGAGGATATTCATTTGAATCTTCATCAGCTCAAAACATCCCTCAAAGCTTCACTAAACCCTAATATATAAGATACATATGTATATCTTGATGTTGTAAACTTCAAGAATTGCCTTGCAGAGAGATGGGCGGCAAACAAATGTAATAAATAAATTAGACAATATGACAGTCATAAAGCCCATTAGGGCTTCTTTCCAGATAAGAAGGCTATAGGACTGAAGCATATCTCTGTTCCACATTAAGAATGAAAGAACACGCATGAATTGGAGCTTTCAGATTCTGACTGTGCTTTTCTACAGAAGACGAAAAGGATGAGGGCATAACCATGTCTGCCATTTCTAGTGAAAGACCAAATCCTCCTCCTAATGGAGACCATTGTGAAGTTACAGATGTCCTTGTTGATAGTACCCCCAATACTAGTAAGTACAGAAACATGAGTGTTGTATTATACAACAGAAAGTAAATGTATCTGTGTTGTTCTAAAAGCTGTTTTCCCTACTGTCTACTTTGGCATGGAGATGAACCATGGTAATACAACTCTTTCCAGTATCCTTTGAAGTAAGCCATCTTTTGCACTTATGGCAAGTACAATAAGAAATCTTGGAACAGTTTCTATGTAGTGATTGTTCTATATGTACTGGTACATGTATTGTTTTAAGCAGTTGTTTATATAAAACAAACTTGCTAAAATGGGTCTTGTGTCCAGAATTCCTTGTCAAATGCTTACTGACAACATCAGGACAAGTAAAACTGATATAGATTTTCCTTCTAATAATAACAGTTATATCCTATGTTTTCTTGGACTTCCTCAAATAAATGGAACTTAACTAATCCATAAGCAGCTTCACAAGAAATAAGCAGGTTTTAAGTTCAAGAATTCAGTTATCATAAGCAAGACAACATGAAGATTTGATTAAAGATTTAAGCAAATGTACACAATACTAAATTATATTCTTTATGAATTTTCCTGACATTCTTTTAAAGGTGCACAAATCTGTGAAACTTTCAAACCGGACCATAAGGAGGATCCAAATCCTTCGGTGGGACCTGAGGTGAAATCAGAATGCAGAAGAGAGGAGAAAGAGGGGACAGAAACAGAGTTCCAAGAGGACACAATTGACAATGCAGCTCAGGAAGTTATAGACGACTGTTTTCCTGATCCTATTGATGCTTGATCCACTGTGCTCCTTTTCCCCTTCTCCAGGTCTGGGGAACTGGAGTTTCTTCATTCCAAGCTTTCTCAGAATAGTATAATGTCCTTTATAAATTACTTACCTGCTAATAGCATAAGCCTACAAATCATTTAAAATTAGCTCCAAATGTGATTTTCTGCTGTGTTCCTATTCCTAAAGGCATTTATAGAAATGATATAGATATGAGAAATCTAATTATCAGATACCCAAATTGGAATAATTTCTATTCCAAGTCAATGTTTGGCCTTCAAACCCCCAAGATTCTTGGCTCATCTTAAGTAGACATACAAATGATGAAACACTTTTGAGGAATTCTAGCTCTTTTTACACTGAAATCAGAATCAAGAATTCTATAGAAAATTCTAGAGAAAGTTTTAAGCTTCCTTGCTGAAATGTTTAGCTGTTGCAGATTTTTGTGATTAAACATGTCTACTTCTGTGCTAAGTGTTTACATGAACCAAAACTGGTTCTTGAACCATAAAATCCAGGGGTTAGTAGCAGGCTCCTTAAACTACACAGGATATTCTCAAACTGCCTATGACATTTTGGGTTTTCTGCACCCTCTTTCAACAGCAGACCATACACCAATGTTTGGGGTCCAGAGATTTGTCTCAGCCCATAATTTTCAAGAGCCGTCTGAATTATGAACAAAAGCCCTTTCACCACATTTTTATAATGCTGAGAGTCAGGATTCTGATCATATATTTCTCTTGGACATTTGAAGAGAATTACGCAAAAGTATTTTTCTATACATACTCTAGCTCTTGATGTGTGACTAACAGGTAGAGAATAACAGAGCAATTCCCTCACCACCATTTTTGCAGATGATGTTATCATCTTAAGTCCACAGTTTTTCAGCAATAGTTTCATAATTTTTATCATCTTTATTTAAGATGTGCTTGTGTTTATTTTAAAACTAAAGAATGGGTATCTTTTGAGTTTATCTGTCTTGTGACTCTTGTTGAATGTGAGAAATGTTTATAGAAGGGTGTCCCACTGTGGAACTTTGTGAACAGGTTTATATAAGAAGATAAGACTTCTAGTTACAGTAGAGTAGCTACCGGTACAAACAGCTTAAAGAACCAGTGCTTCATGCTTCTAAAACCAGCCTCCATTTTCTGAAGGATGAAACCAAGAGAAGTGATTACCCCCATATTGTCCTGTGTATTTAATGTAAATGTCAGATCACCCACTGTGGGAACTATGATGCTGAACATGCTTGAATATTGGTCTAAATCAGCAACAATTTTATGCTGACCTTGCCATAAGAAAAAAAATAAAGCTTTTATTTTTTTAAAATGACATTCGCCTTAATTTCATGAGAAACTGAAACTAAGGCTTAAAACTCTTCCTTTCAGGGAACAAAAAATTTCCAATTGCTTAGTCTGCTATTAAAAAACAAATACAGTTTGCAGGAGTGTATACTATAGTATGAATTGGCTGTAGGTGTATCCAGTGTACTTAAAAAAAGAAAACAGGCAAACAATTTGGTGATGACAAATAAAGCTTTGGCATCTATTATAACCACCATTTAAAGCATTGTACTCTGAAACATTTTAAGAATAATAAACAAGAAGCAGAGATAACACTGTTTTTTTCTCTTCTACTTTATTGCCATCCAACCAGGGTGAAATGCTACTGGTTCGCACCAGTTCGGGCAAACTGGTAGTGAAAAAATGCTACCGTTTTGTCCGAACTGGTATTTCTGACAATTAGCTGTGCCGCGTGATTTATATTTGCTAGAAAGCAGGAAAGCCTACTTTCTACCGAATCTAAATCATGCGGCACAGCTGTTCCACCCCCTCGTTGTTCTACTTACCTTCTTAAGCCTCCTTTTTCCGTGTGAAGTGCATGTTTGGTGCACACTGTGCATGCGTGCCTGCGCAGCATACATTTGGCATGTACTGTGCATGTGCACACGCACAGCGTGCTTTTGGCATGCACCATGCATGCATTTGGCACGCACTGCACATGCAGGCATGTGCAGCTTGAATTTGGTGCACACTGCGCATGCGCGGGCAGTGAATTGATGGCAAACCACGGAGGATTTCATCACTGCATTCAGCCTTCCATCCTTCCAAGGATGGAAGGCTGTTGACTTTGTAGAAACACCGCTTATGGGGGCCAAAAGCCCTAATAAGCAGGTATATACAAAAGAATGAAGGCTATTGCTATAGTGCATTGTAAGCCGCCCTGACTCTTCGGAGAAGGGCGGCATATAAATTGAACTAATAAATAAATAAATAAATAAATAAATAAATAAATAAATAAATAAATAAATAACCCTTGTTAGGGGCTAGATGTTTATGCTTTTTCTTTTCAGAGAAACATGGTATATAAACATGGCATATAATAATAGTTACCTTGATTGCAAAGTTTATTGTACCACTTGCATATAGTTGCAGGATTTTCTTTTTCATCTTCCTAAAGGCTTTAAGGTAGATTTGGCCAGGCTCATTAGGGATTATACAATTAAGAGTAGCAATTAGGAAAAAGTAACCAAATCAAAATGAAAGTACTCTGGTGATAGACATTTTTAGAGAAGCCCCTTGGACAATAAAACAGACACTTCCTGCTTTTTGAATGAGGAGCATCTTTAGAACACCAAAGAAAATGCAAAGAAAACCCAGGCATGAGGTAGCTTTGTATATTCTGTTGAATAGCTAGAGCTTGCCGCTTTGCTTAATTTTTTCCCCACTTTCCCCATTGCAATAATACAATGTCTGAAAAATCATTCTCCTGTAATGCTTTGAGCTGTATTCACACTGTGGTGATTTTTTTATGATGCTGTCCTTCACTAATAAAGAGGTTGTTTTATATACCTAGACTGAGGAGTTGGATTCTTTGTATTACCTGCTTATTCTTCAACATTGGCTAAAATTCTTACCTGGCAGCATATTCAGCAGTCTTGGCATTTTTCTAAACAAAGAGTCACCTTTATCCCCCAGCAATCCAAAGCTGGTTCTCTTACCAGTCTAATTTTACTATTCCATTTCCCAGAGAAGAGAAGAAATCCTGAGAATTAGGTATAAACAACAGCCCTATTCATACTTATCCCCTGTTATTGTATGTGTGAATTTTAAATTCTGTCTTCCATCTGGAAACTCAGGATAGCATATATAAAATTCCTTCCATAAAGTCTTTTCCTACAAATCTTACATATTGAGTTAAAAGAAACTCAACATCACCCAGGGACTGACGATGGACTTGAATAGGGATCCCTTCAGTCCTAGTCCAATACCTTACCTACTCCACATTAACTTTCATTGTTAAGTATACTGGCACCAAATTTATTTTAAAATAAGGGGAGATACTGATATTTAATTCTTTGCTTGCTTCTCTTTAACTGGCAGCATTGTATTGCCTGCTACGATCAGACTACTGCCTGATAAATGAATCCTAAGTGAATAAAACTAATTGCACCATGATTAATCTTCAGCATTGGCTTCATGAAACAGCCTTAAGTTATCATTAACTGTACCAGTGTTAAAGTAGACTCTCCCTTAAGCTTACACTATTCTACTATAGCTTCATGATGTTTAAAACTGTCCTGCTTTATCACTTTTTACCGGAGGAGGAACTGCCCATAAACCCATGACCTATGCCCCATTCTGAAAATACAGTGTCTATCATAACTAAAACCATTATTCTACTTCAGCATCAATTTTGCTGAAGGACCAAAATTTTTGTAGGCAGATCTTAGGCAAAATGTTATTGCCTTTGTCTAGCTGGTTTTTGATAATTCATGTATGTTTTCATCCACTACCAAATCATGAATGAAGATAATCTTATTGCATATAGAGTTGAATTAGCCATTAGCACCTTGAGCCTATGCAATCTGGTTACCTGACAGACGGATCAGCAAATTAAATAAAAACTACCATAAAATTGGAGCGCTCTCTTCTTTGTAATGATCTACCTGATATTTTTTAGTATATATCCTTGACCCAGTTATATGGAGATATAATAACTCATGGCCCTGGTTATCAGTTTCAGTTGTTCTGCTTAGCCTTGATCTAAAATTTTACATTCCCAGCAGTTAGTCAGGTTAAGTTTTCTAGCTCTGTAGGATCTAGCTTGTAAAAGTTCTTTACCTTGTATGCAATGGCTCAGGGCTACCTTCTATTTTCTCATGATAACTTATTGTTGTTGTTTTGTAGCTATAGCAGACATGAGAGTAGGAGACAATGGTGGGTTTCTACCGGTTCACCCTGGTTCTGGTGAACCGGCTCCTCCCACCTGCCCGGACATCATCATGGATGCTCTGTGCATACACAGAAGTGCCGTGCACAAGCAAAGCAAGCGCAATGCACGTGCGTGCTCACAGTTCCGAACCGGTAGTAAAAGTAAGTGAAAACCACTACTGGTAGGAGAGATAACATCAATTCTCAGAGCTAATATAAAAGAGGCAGGGGATAGAAAAGAATGGGAAATATAAGGAGAAGGCTTCAAAGAATGAGAAGGTAAGAAAGATTATTTGGATGGGCTTCACCAAAGACCCAAAGAAGAGGAGAGACACTGAGAGAGCTCAGGCAAGGTTTCAAAGTTAAATCTTTTGCACTTATACCACAGTGTCCTATTAGTAAATGTGATTTTTTAAAAATTGGTTGGTGTTATGCTGGAAGAAGATGGAAATAAAGCCAGAGGAAAAAATTAATCACTTTCCTGGATAACAAGTGGCACAGTCCTGTTCAAGACAAGAGACCTGTTTGGCAATGAAGTGATGCAATGGAGAATCAGAATAAAATAAAGATTATTAAAATTCATTCATGCTGACTCAAAGATGAATGCATAGGACTTGAACATAAAATCAGGGAAAGGCCAAAAGGTATGCGTTATTTTTACCTCATAGACATAGTTAAAAAAACTAGCCTTAAAAATCAAGTCAAAAGTTGACTTGACTCCTGTTTTTCTGGGCAGCAAGAAGAAATTGCCCTTGCTGCCTTCTAAAATATATTTTTTGCTTGTTAGTATAGACCACAGTCCTGGATATTCCCTAATGGTCAGCCAGTCAAGTAATAAACAGCCATGCTTCTGTTTAGCTTCTGGGCCAGAAGAGTTGCCCAGCTAACAAAGACTATGGGCCTGTACAACTTCCAGGCAATGCTAAACACTGCATGTTAATGTGTGGCCAGTTTTAATGGAGGCTGAGGAGATTCAATGTCCAGCATACTTTTGACCAGCATACTTTTCATAACTTGCTTTAATTGCCTTCTTTCAGTCTTTATGGGTCAGTAGTATTAGGATACAATATTTCTAGCTGGGAAAAGCAAGTTGGTGGTATACAAGTTACCAAGAATTCGAAGGATTGTATTATGCTGAGGAGTTTAATTATAAATAATTTAACATGCATTCAGGGAGCTGCATCAAGCATTGGACAGCTGTGCAATTTGACAATTTTGCCACCAGGTGGCAGCAAAGGGCAAAACTTCAGCATTGGAAGTTTGAGCAAATGTTTTTTGCAGGACCCATTACTTTTCTAAGGACCTCAGAATGGAGAGGGCATAGTTTTCTTTCTCTATTCTCCTTCTGCTTCTTTCTTCTCTGCCCAAATGTATTTGTTGCAGAAGTGAGTTGGAAGAAGGGAAGGAGAGAGAGAGAGAGAGAGAGAGAGAGAGAGAGAGAGAGAGAGAGAGCGCGAGCCAAACCG